CATCCTTGTCTGGTTCCTGATTTTAGAGGGAATGGTTTCAGTTTTTCTCCATTAAGTATAATGCTGGCTGTAGGTTTGTCATATATAGCTTTTATAATGTTGAGGTACTTTCCTTCTATTCCTAGTTTTCTTAGAGCTTTTATCATGAAATGGTGTTGGATCTTATCAAAGGCTTTTTCTGCATCTATTGAGATGATCAAGTGGTTTTTGTCTTTGCTTCTGTTAATGTGGTTTATTACATTTATTGATTTTCGTATGTTGAACCACCCCTGCATCCCTGGGATGAAGCCTACTTGGTCGTGGTGAATAATCTTTTTGATGTGTTGCTGAATTCGATTTGCCATTATTTTGTTGAGGATTTTTGCATCAATGTTCATTAAGGAGATTGGCCTATAGTTCTCCTTTTTGGAGGTGTCTTTGCCTGGTTTTGGGATAAGTGTAATACTGGCTTCATAAAATGTGTTTGGCAGTTTTCCTTCCCTTTCTATTTCGTGGAACAGTTTAAGGAGGGTTGGTATCAGTTCTTCTTTAAAGGTCTGATAGAATTCAGCAGAGAATCCATCAGGTCCTGGACTTTTCTTTTTGGGGAGACTCTTGATTGCTGCTTCAATTTCATTTTTTGTTATAGATCTATTCAGGTGATTAATTTCCTCTTGGTTCAGTTTTGGATGATCATATGTATCTAGAAATCTGTCCATTTCTTTAAGATTTTCAAATTTATTTGAATATAGGTTCTCAAAGTAGTCTCTGATGATTTCCTGGACTTCCATGGTGTTTGTTGTTATCTCCCCTTTTGCATTCCTGATTCTACTAATTTGGGTTTTTTCTCTCCTCATTTTAGTCAGGTTTGCCAGGGGTCTATCGATCTTGTTTATTTTTTCAAAGAACCAACTTTTTGTTTCATTAATTCTTTGTATGGTTTTTTTGGTTTCTATTTCATTGATTTCAGCTCTTATTTTTATTATTTCTCTCCTTCTATTTGTTTTGGGATTTGCTTGTTCTTGTTTTTCTAAGAGTTTGAGATGTATCATTAGGTCATTGATTTGGGATCTTTCAGTCTTTTTAATATATGCACTCATGGCTATAAACTTTCCTCTCAGGACTGCCTTAGCTGTGTCCCATAGGTTCCGGTAGGTTGTGTTTTCATTTTCATTGACTTCCAGGAGCTTTTTAATTTCCTCTTTTATTTCATCGATGATCCATTCTTCATTAAGTAGTGAATTATTTGTTTCCAGCTGTTTGCATATTTTTTGTCTTTACTTTTGTTGTTGAGTTCTACTTTACTGCATTGTGATCAGATAGTATGCACGGTATACCTAATTTGAGGTTACTCTCTACTGTCTTGCTTTTTCTTATCCTGTGGTTTGGTGCTGCCTGTCTTTTCATGGTTAAGTTGGGTTTCACTTTCTGTGTGCAGAATCCCTTGAAGAATCCTTTGTAGTGGGGTGGCTTTGTGGTCACATATTGTTTTAGTTTCTGCTTATCATGGAAGACTTTTATTGCTCCATCTATTTTGAATGATAGTTTTGCTGGGTAGAGTATCCTTGGGTTGAAGTTATTTTCATTCATTGCCCAGAAGATCTCACCCCATGCTCTTCTTGCTTTTAATGTTTCTGTTGAGAAGTCTGCTGTGATTTTGATGGGTTTACCTTTGTATGTTACTTGTTTTTTCTTTCTTACAGCCTTCAATATTCTTTCCCTGCGTTTCTGAACTTGTTGTTTTAATGATGCTATGTCATGGGTAGTTCTATTTTGATCTGGTCTGTTTGGTGTCCTGGAGGCCTCTTGCATTTGTATGGGAATATCTTTCTCTAGATTTGGGAAATTTTCCGTTATTATTTTGTTGAATATATTACGCATTCCCTTCGCTTAGCACCTCTTCTCTTCTTCGATGCCCATGATTCTCAAGTTTGGTCTTTTGATGGAGTCAGTGAGTTCTTGCATTTTCTTTTCACAGGTCTTGAGTTGTTTAATTAATAGTTCTTTGGTTTTTCCTTTAATTACCATTTCATCTTCAAGTTCTGAGATTCTGTCTTCTGTTTGTTCTATTCTGCTGGATTGGCCTTCCGTTTTGTTTTGCAGTTCTGTTTTGTTCTTTTTTCTGAGGTTTTCCATATCCTGGCTGTTTTCCTCTTTAATGTTGTCTATTTTTGTCCTGAGTTCATTTATCTGTTCATTCATCGTGTTCTCTCTTTCACTTTGGTGTTTATACAGTGCTTCTATGGTTTCCTTTATTTCTTCTTTTGTTTTTTCAAATTCTCTACTTTTGTTGTCTTGGAATTTCTTGAGTGTCTCCTGTACATTTTGGTTGACCCTATCCCAGTATCATCTCTATAAAATTTTCATTGAGTATCTGTAGTATGTCTTCTTTTAAATTATTCTTGTGGCCTTCATTGAGTCCTTTGGCATAGTTTATCTTTATTTTGTTGGAGTCTGGATCTGAGTATCTGTTTTCTTCATTCCCCTCTAGTTCCTGTACTAATTTTTTGCTGTGGGGAAACTGGTTTCCCTGTTTTTCCTGTCTTCCCGTCATTGTCTTTAGTGTTGTTACTGTCCCTGTACTGTATGCAATTAAGTATTTTCTAGCTTGTAATAACAATGGCAATATTTAGAATGGAAGGGTGAGCTGAGATGGAAAGCAAGAAGTTAAAGAAATGGGAAAAACAAATACACAGACTGGAGGGAGAAAACAGAACAAGGTATCAGACAAGAAGGTTTCAAAGGTATAAACAGGGAGCTTTAGTGTACTAATTGACAGTAAGCTGAACAGACATTAGAGAGACAGAGAGAGGATTGAAAATCAAAAATCAAAAATAATAAATATAAGAATGAAAATAAAAAATAAGTAAATGAAAGAAAAATCTATTTATAAAAATGTATTAAAATAAAATGAAAAAATAGAAAATTAATAAAAAAACAAAAAACCACCAAAAAACCTCCAAGTTCAAATGAAATGAAGTTTCAGTCTTAATAATTTGGGTGTCCGTCTCAGTCTCCAGTCCTGGAGATGGTGCCTCAGATGTTGTTCTGTAGTTGTCTCATCAAAGGGGATGCATAAAGTAGAACAAAACTACACGCACAAAAAAAACCCCACCAAGTGTCCCAAGTTCAAATGCAATACAGTTTCATTAAGTTTTTCAGCTTGCAGGTGTAGTTCGGTTGTTCTCTCATCAAAGGTAGGGAGACTAAGAAAAAAAAAGAGTGTGGAGACAGTTCTGAGAATGGTATCTGCAAGTGTGGCTTGCCTGCCCACTGCTGTCAGCCTGCTGTTGCTGGAGGCATTATTTATGCAGATCTCAGGGGTGAGCTTAGCACTCACCTGGCCCTGCAGGCTTTGTTTGCTCAGGTTTCTCCTATGCGTGAGCCTCTGCTACAAGCTTTCCCCTTTCCAAGCACTGGGAAAGGTGACAATGCACCCGCATTGTCAGGCCTGCGTGTTTATTTACAGTTCATGTGGGAGGTGGGTCTTCCCCCCTCTCCTGTGCTTTTCTCCTCCCACCTCCACTTTCACAAGCTTTCCTGTTCCTGATTACTAGGGGGTGCTGCTGCTCCTGCCAGCCACCATGTTTGTTTACAGATCACGTGGGAAGTGGGTCTTCCCTCCTCTCCTGTGGAGTTTTCCTCCCTCCACCACTCTCACAAGCTTTCCCACTCCTGGTTGCTGGGTGCACGCCCCAACTCCCACCAGAGGCTGTCCGGCCAAACCAGCTTGTTTATTTACAGTCCCGGGAAGGATTCCCTTCCTCCAATCTTCCGCGCTCAGTGCACCCCACCCTCTTTCCCACGTGTGTTTATTGTTCTTATGGCTTATTAGTCAGTTTCTCTTTTTTCCCTGGGTGGAGGTCAGTCTGTCCAGGGGGCTATGCTGCTCTGGCCCAGGCTTGTCTGTGGGAGTACTGTGGTACCGCAAAGCTCACCTGGTCTGTGTCTTCCCAAGCCATCTGGGCGCCGGCAACTGGTGGCCCGGGGGCCCTCCTGGTTTCTCCGTTTAATGTGAAGTGAAGATTCTCTGCACTGGCTGGAGGTGTGGAGGGGTCAAAGTTATGCCTTTTCTCAGTGATTATGCCTGCAAAGTGTGTCTGCAGCATCTCTCCAAGATTTCACTATAGGAGGCTCGCTTTCTGCTTCCTCCCTCTAACCACCATCTTGGAATTCCCTAGAATATTTCTTATAATTAAAAAGATTAATATTAGAGTAACCTTCATAATGATTTACTTACTGGCCTTTAAGTATAGGAGTTGCCCCCTGTGTTTACTTGCTGTTCTACACATCCTCCATAACACTTGGTATATAAGATAATGTTAAAAGAATTTCACTGAATATGTTTGAAGTACTACAAAAGGCAGCCTGCTTTTTTTTTAAACAAAAAAGCATATTTTTCTAACTTCTTTAATTGAAAAATAGGATTGCAGCTCAAGTGGTAGAGCACCTGAGTAGCAAGCCTAGCAAGAGTGAGGCCCTGAGTTCAAGCCCTAGTACTGCCAAAAATAAATAATTGCCGGTGGAGTGTGGAAAGGCTCAAGCAATAAGTGTGCCTGCCTGGCAGTCTGCTTTTTAATCTGTGCATCTTTGGGAGTTTTGAAGACATTTTAGTCCTTGATGTAAAAGGGAACAAGAGTTGGAAACTCTGCATTTATGTATCTATGTATTTTTAGCAATAAAGTCACGTGGGCTCAGAATACACAAAATAAAATCAGGAGACTGGATTAAACCATTGTACTATTGTGAATCCTACTACCCAATTTTCAAAACCAAAGGGTCTTCAGTTTCACCGCCTCATGGTTTTGTTTTCTGTTTGGTTCATCCTGAGCCCCAGCAGGTCTTCAGGAGATTTGTATTTCCCTGGAAAACTAAAAGAGCATAGAAATCAAATGTAGAGACAGAAGACAATTTTAGCTATACAGCTCAGTTATCCTTGAGCCTGTCCTGATCTGCTGTAAACCTGACCATAAGAAATAAAGCATCTTTTCCCAGTAGAGTAATAACTCTCTCTTTTCCAGTGCTCTGTTTCCTGTGGCGGTGGAGTACGGATTCGCAGTGTCACATGTGCCAAGAACCATGATGAACCTTGCGACAAGACAAGGAAACCCAACAGCCGAGCTCTGTGTGGACTCCAGCAGTGCCCTTCTAGCCGGAGAGTTCTGAAACCCAACAAAGGCACAATTTCCGGTGGGAAAAACCTACCAACATCTGAGCGAGACCTCTCCAAACCCATCCCTCCATCTACATCTAAGCCCCTTCTGCTGACCACACCTAAAGTACCTGAGCCTATGAGTACAAGGACTCCAGCAATCAACAGCCCTAATCCTACCACAGTTGACAAAGAGGGAGATCTGGATGGGGGACAGTGGCAAAATAGTTCAACGCAAACTGAATTAGACTCCCACAATCTCATTTCTACTGAAAGCACTTCCCAGCCCATCCTCACTTCTTGGTCTTTGAGTATTCAGCCCAGTGATGAAAATGTTTCCAATTCAGATACCAGTCCTACCTCAGAGGTAGACCTTATGGTCACGACAACAAGTGATTCTGACATGACATCTTCCAGCAATGCTGTGACCTGGCAAATGACTACATTCTACAATACTTTGACCAAAGATCCAGAAATGGAGATTCATAGTGGCTCAGGGGAAGACAGTGAAAAGCCTGAAAACAAAGATGAAAGCAACTCTGTAATGTGGAGCAAGACGATAGTAGCTGAAAATGTTCCAGTAGAAAAAACTACAGAATTACCACTTGGACCTCCACCAACACCTTATCTTGGGGAGGAATCCTTGTGGCATCCCTTCAGCACAGTGATGGAAGGTCCTCTCCCTAGCCAAAGACCCAGTACCCTTAAAAATGGGACACCCAGACCTGAGGGGTTGGTCACTGAAAAGCCACTCTCTCCTGAAGGTGACTACCAGCCAGCATCCTCAGAAAAGTCTGTAAACCATAACCACCTGACACTTCCGAACAACATGAGTCTAACACAAGATTCTGCACCAGTCCTGACTGAGGAAGATGCATCCAGTTTGATTGCTGAGGGGTTTTTGCTCAATGCCTCCAATTATAAGCAGCTCACGAAGGATCGCAGTCCTGCATACTGGATTGTTGGAAACTGGAGTGAAGTAAGAGGTTCAATTTCCTATCCCAAGCCTGATAGCTAGGGGTGTTGCAATCTTGTGCAAATTTTAAAATGAACTTGTATTAAAATGTAGTTGAAGCTTGGGTGGCAGTGCATGCCTATAATCCCAGCACTTCAGCTGGGATTATCTTCCCAGCACTTGGGAAGTTGAAGATAAGAAGGATTGGCTATGGATTAAGAGAAAGACAACACATGTTAGGAGATATGATGGAAACAAGCCTAGATCAGTCAGCTGTGGGATCATGGAGAATCCAGTCATCTTTCTATGCCTGCTTTTAAACTATAAGACAGAAGGGCTAGTGTAGAATGTAGCTTAACTGTATCAGTAATTTTTTCTTTTTTCTTTGAGTTACATTTTAAAAATTCAATTTAAAGCTGACCATGGTGGTACACACCTGTAATCCCAGCATTCAGGAGGCAGAGGAAGGAGAATCACAAGTTTGAGGCCAGCCTGGGCTACATAGAGAGAACCACCTTGCAAAAACAATTCATTTTAGCTCATTGAAAGAACTAGAATATAGAAGGAGAAAAATGTAAGTAGGATTACAAAATGCTGGCCCTTATTTTCAGGCTTTCAAATTTTGGCCAGATATTTATTTTTCCATTTCTAGAACTAATGACATCCTTTGAGGCACCGAAATAATTTCTCACCTATTTGAATTTTGAATGAACTTGTTAGAATAATGTGATAACTCAAAATAGGACTTTGAAGCGAAGTAATCACATGTTCAAATGATTCAGCATTTGTATGACATTTCATGTCTTATTTCCCTTGCTAAAAAGAGGTGAAATATTAGCAGCTAATATAAGAATAGCAATACAATTATAACAATTTACAAAGTATATTAATTTCAGAACCACTTTGACATGTCATCACTTTTTTTTTCCTTTTTACAGTTTGGGGATTAGGTACTAATTTCTAAGTAGAAAACCTAAAATATTTAATGGTTGCGTGACTAACCTAAGGATACTGTTTTTGGTTGGTAAATTGAACTTCCTAACTCTCTCTTAACCTGCTATGTATCTCATGACAATTTAACTGTATAGAATTCTTCTGTATAAATTAATCAGCATCATTAGGTCAAAGAACTGACTCTACCAGCAATAAACAAGTAAACTCAAAACTCTAAAATTGTTTATACTAAATGTTATAATTATTTGCATTTGAACTGTTTTCACATTGATTTATGTTTCATTGATAAAATTGCTTATCACATTTTCTATCAATGAATCAATATCTTGTGATCTCTATTCACAAGAATCCATCTTCAGGGAAAAAAGATTTTCATGCTCACAGTAATCTAATTTGTTGAAAGAAGGACAGAAATGGGTCTCATGGTCCAGGCATTTTCTAATAATTTCTAATGGACTTTAACAATGGGAATATGTAGACAATAAACATTTACAAAGCACACAGGATACATTGTAAGCATGATTTTAAGCTAATTAGCATGATCTTCTCATTTAATCCTTACCACAGTCCAAGGAGATTGGTAACACTTTCCTTGCTATAGAGATGAGGAAACTGAGGCTGAGAGGGTTTAAGTAACCAGCCAGAATCATGCACACTATGAGAAATGGAGCAGGATTTGAACTCAGGCAGACAGACTTCAAATCCCTTGCTTTATAAAGCAGAGTACACTATCATTCTCAGTGTCTTGGGTTTATTTGTTGCTTCTTTGTCCATATGTAAACATGATGGCAGGTTATGTGGTGATCCTGGGTAGATAGATGAGAAAATTACATAGTTCACAAGAAAGTATTTTATAACATTTAAGGGACCAATGTTTACTTTTGAGTTTACAGGGGAAAATATCAGTGTAGATAAATTTTGAAATAAAGTCAATCTGCTTAGGGCTTTTCAGAATGTTGTGTTTTCAAAAAATACTCTCAAAGAACATCTTTCCTTCCAAAAATATTCTATTTTCTTAAGAGCAGATATACAGTCTTGCTATCTCCTTCAGTCAGATTAGTTTGGACAGTGGGTAGCCTCTTCAGACTGACTGAGCTTAATTGTGGTGCCTCTGGGATATCCAAGTGATAACTAGCAGATTTTTGCACATATGCATCTGAGTTTTTGAGAGAGGTAAGAATTTGAGGTAAGTTTTGGTAACCATGAGCAATAGATGGCTTTTAGTGCCTTTGAAGTGAGTTGAGATTACCTAAGAACAATCTGTAGGCTGCAAAGAGTAGTGGGGACAGGGATGGGATTCTGGAAAACACCAACATTTTTTTTTTTCATTTTTCTTTTATTATTCATATGTGCATACAAGGCTTGTTCATTTTCCCCCTGCCCCACCCCCTCCCTTTACCACCCACTCCACCCTCCCGCTCCCCCCCTCAATACCTAGCAGAAACTATTTTGCCCTTATTTCTAATTTTGTTGTAGAGAGAGTATAAGCAATAATAGGAAGGAACAAGGGGTTTTGCTGGTTGAGATAAGGATAGCTATACAGGGCATTGACTCACATTGATTTCCTGTGTGTGGGTGTTACCTTCTAGGTTAATTCTTTTTGATCTAACCTTTTCTCTAGTTGTTCCCCTTTTCCTATTGGCCTCAGTTGCTTTAAGGTATCTGCTTTAGTTCTCTGCGTTAAGGGCAACAAATGCTAGCTAGTTTTTTAGGTGTCTTACCTATCCTCACCCCTCCCTTGTGTGCTCTCGCTTTTATCATGTGCTCAAGTCCAATCCCCTTGTTGTGTTTGCCCTTGATCTAATGTCACATATGAGGGAGAACATACGATTTTGGTTTTTGAGCCAGGCTAACCTCACTCAGAATGATGTTCTCCAATTCCATCCATTTACCAGCGAATGATAACATTTCGTTCTTCTTCATGGCTGCATAAAATTCCATTGTGTATAAACCAATTTTCTTAATCCATTCGTCAGTGCTGGGCATCTTGGCTTTCCATAACTTGGCTATTGTGAATAGTGCCGCAATAAACATGGATGTGCAGGTGCCTCTGGAGTAACAGTCTTTTGGGTATATCCCCAAGAGTGGTATTGCTGGATCAAATGGTAGATCGATGTAATGCTCACCATCTCTAGCAATAAAGGAAATGCAAATTAAAACCACACTAAGATTCCACCTCACCCCTGTTAGAATAGCCACCATCAGCAACACCGACCACAAACAGGTTTGGCAAGGATGCGGGGAAAAAGGAACCCTTTTACACTGTTGGTGGGAATGTAGACTAGTACAACCACTCTGGAAAAAAATTTGGAGGCTACTTAAAAAAAAAAACACCAACATTTTAAGGGGCTGGCTAGCAAAGAGATCCCATGAGGAAGACTAGTAAGCAATAGTATTATAGTTAAGACTTAAACACAGAGCTGTGGTACTGTTGATGTCTAGGAGTGAAAGGGTCCACAGAAGACCTACTGGATTTGACAACTAGCAAGTCACTGATGACTTTGGAGAGAACACCCAAATTTCAGTAAAAAATAGGAAAGGTTCCTTTGGGAGACTATCACATTAATCACACGGAGCCCTACACTGGGATTGTTAATAAGAATGAACAGTCTTCAGTTAATACAAAAGTTTTATTAAGAAGTAGATGTTAAATGACACAGAAATTAGTTTTCTTTCTCATCTCTTATCTTTTCAACCATCCTCAAATCCCAGAGCAATTGTAAAATTATTTAATTTAAATGTGCTCAAATGATTTTGCCCATATATTAATTAATCAAAACATGTTAATTTATTCGATAAGAAATTACTATACCCAAGTAAATTAAACCACAATGAAGTACACATTAACCTTGATGACTGATTGAACTCAAAGGTTATTACATCTTGCTTCCAGTAAATGAAGACACAAAGAATTAACTTTGACTCAAATGTTGTCTTTTGACTTTGACATAAGTGAGCAGCCTTATTGGATACATCATAGATCACCAAAAAGTTGGCCACAGTGGTGGAGCATTAAAAGCTATTAATTTTAGTCAACTTGGCTCAAGAAAAAGTGAATTGGCCCATTGCAATTTAGAGCTACATGGATATTATTAAATTACAGTTATAAATTTGGCAGGAGTCTCAATGAAAGGGCTTTGTGCCCACTCTCTTTATGCATGTTTTGAGATAAAATGGTCCATATGCGAAATTGTCAGAGAGAGTCAGGACTCACAATGAAAGCTTTGAGTCTTTGAGCTTCTCACTGTGCCTAATTTTTGTACTGCCCATTCCTGAGGTTGTTTCATGGGGGGGTTGCTTCTTTCTAAAATCAGTGGGTAACTCATCTTCTAATCACCATGTCTCCAAAACCCCCAAATCACCGCTGATACAAATGTACAAAAAAAAAGACTAACAATTTTTCAAGTTGTTGTTACTTCATCATTCTGTTAGCTCCTTTCTATTTCTCTTAGTTTGAGGCCCAGTGGTTTCTTATCTAATGGTAACAGGGTTGTGGAACTAAGTGGGCATGTTTTTCTTTGTTGCAATGATAGTCAGGGAAGGAATTACAACCAGTATTTAAAATATGAGAACCAACGATGGTAAAAATCCTGCAATATTCAGGAAAATCCCTTCTAAGGAAGAATTGTCCAGTTGAAAGGGCCAATGGTGTCCCAGTAGTTGAGAATGTAGGACCATTGGTTCCTACCCTTGCCTGGGACACCTGCCCTTCCCTTCTTTTTGGCCTGAGAACCACCATTCACTCCCTTTTCCAGTCTTTTCCACACATCATTGCAAGAGATGTGAGACTGCCAAATCTGTCTTCCAGAAGGACTGCTCTAATCATTCCAAAGTCCTGTTCATGAATCTTTAATGTGTCCCCAATACATATCAGCTCAGATGAAATTCACTCTGAACTAACATCCGAGGGTCTTACATGTACATATAATCAGGCTTTCTACCCTCTCTGCCTCCAAGGTTTCTTCCATCTCATGCTTCAAAAAAAACAAATGCTCAGTTTCCTTGGAACCTCTGCCTCTCATAGTCCAGTACCTTCATTCATACTGCTTCCTCTCCTTGAATTTCCTCTTCCACCTCTGCCCTTTCATAACCTACCCATTCTTCAGCATCAAATTTCAAGTTCCTATTCCATAAAACTTTTGAGATCTCTAAGGCAGGAAATAATTTCTAAAGTAATTTCCTTAGTGTTTTGAAGTCTCTCTTAGTTCATACTCTGTTTAGGTCCTGTATCAAAAGGCTTCCCAAGGCCACCATTGTACATGACACATTTCCTTCAATAATTGTGGTTTCAAAAACTAAGTAATTGGTGCAAAAATAAAGTTAACACAATAAATAGAGCTAAAGTTTGGAACTGGACTTTCTGGATTTGACTCCTGGTATACTTAGTAGCTGTAATTCCTCACTTTCCCTCAGTTTCCTCATCTGTGAAATGGGGATGATGATAATGCCTGACTTGCATGAGATAAAAGGAATAGCTATTTGTAAGGTACAGAGGCTATTTGTCAGGCACATGAGAGTCATTCAGGAAATATTTGTTCTGTTCTATATTTACAAATCAGGAAATTTGGTGTTATGCAGTGTGTATGGGTATGGCTCTTACTTTGACAGAAATTTACCTCTTGTGGAAGGCCTTATCATTCAGTCAGATCCCTTGGGCCAGTCAGTTAAAAGCAGGCTATATAGTCATGTAGAATGAAAGTGACAGCATAATTTTCCACAGCCTTTCAGAGCAGTTTTCACATGATGCTGACATGATCCTCAACATCAGTTCAACTTCTGAGCACCCCCACACCTGTTCTTTGACCTGATTGATGGTTTTTGCAGGATCACAAGAATGGTTCCCTTGTGATCAAAATGAAGTTGTCCTTCAACCTCTTCAGGGTTCTCTTTTCTTCTCCCATCTTCCACTCCCAATTTGAAACTAATTTAATATAAGAAAAACTCTAATCAGAAGCATCCTATTTTTAGTTTTACTATAATTTTAGTTTATTGTATCCCATGGGCTTCCTCTTGTTGGTTTTATCTTTAGAATGTTGTTTGCTACCTAAATAGAAACTGTCCGAAATAATTAAATAATGTCTATTTATGAGTAGGACTAGATTCAGAGCTCCAAAGATAATGTGCAATTTTTTGCAACATAAACATGGTACAAAGACCTTCATCATCACTGGATGTTTAGCAGGATCATTACTATCCTGGGAATTTGGTCTCATTAAGAATTATTTTGGGGGCTAGAGGTGTAGCTCAGTGGTAGGGCACTTGCTTAGCATATCCAAGTTTGATCCTCAGCACTGAGAAAAAAATTATCCTGGGTTCAGTCAAGTGTTATATTTTTCATCTATGTCATAATATAAAATTAATAGCATACTGTTTATGTGACCCTTTTGTTGGCTCCCGATATCTGGAAAGTGAGGCCTGCGACCCCGACTTTGTAAGTGTGTTGTGTTTAATAGGAAATAGTTATAGAGCATTGACAGTGTGCAAGGCAGTGCACATGGATGATCTTCAGCCCTCACAGTAACTCAGTGAGGGAAGTCCTAGTGTTATCACTGGTTTTACAGACTTAGGGCAGTTGGGAAACTGTAAAAGATCACACAATTAGCCAACTGCAGACCTGTAATTGTACCTGAGTAATTGTACCCTGAACCAGGAGATACTATTAAACTCAGCTTGAATTGTCACATACCTGCCAGAGGGTCAGCCAAAGGCTAGTTGGTGTGGGATGGTCTGTACTGAGTTACCTGAGTGTGTTTTCTGTGAACGCTCATCCTTCAGCATAGCCCAGAGTTGTTCACACGGTAGTGCAGGGATCCAAGTGCAAGAAGTAGCTCAGCATCATCCACTACATCCCATTGGTCAATGCGAGAGCTGAGGAAATGGATTCCATCTCTCCATGACAGAAGGTGCAAGGTCACTTTGCAAAGAACACAGGTGTAAGAAAGTGAGAACAATGGAGACCATCAGTGCAACCAAGCCACAATGCTCAATGCACTTCAGCTGTTATTATCTCTAATACACAGATGCCTACTATTGTCCAAAAGAGAAAGTGCTAGGAACTTATGAGAGCTATGTTAGGAGAAGAGATTGCTTCTATGAGACTTCAGATAACATTATAGCAGCTATTTGCTATTCTTCTCTTTCTGTGATTCTGCCATTTATCTAAGAACTCTATTATGTTCTGTATGTGTTATAACACAAGAATTTGTACCAAATGAAACATGAAGTTGTATGGAGGGTAAAGAGGTAGCAAAAGAAATATAAGTCTGGTCTTGATTCATATAACTCATCAAAAGAATCCTTCAAGATAGAATTTCTTGAATTTCCAACCCTTTTAAAAATTAGCTCAAAGTTGTGTTTTATGTGTTCAGAAATAAATCCCCTTCTGAAGATAAGTAGAAGGGAGGATGAAAGGAAAAAGCAATACCGTGAAAGAATTAGTTACATAAATGGAAGACCTTGTGGGGGAAATGTTTCATATTCTTCAAAGAAACCCCATGCTAAACTTGAGATATTTAAGAATTGTGAATAAATACAAACACCCTGAGAGGGATGGGTTTTACATATGACAAAAGGGAGTGATTTATTCACTGCTGGTGGATCAAGACATGAAAAGACATTATGTTTAATATCTTTCTAGCTCCAAGTGTGGCTTGAGGGCCAACAGCATCGGCGTCACTTGGGGTTTGGTAGAAATGCTGAATCTCAGTCCCACCACGGGATAAGAATCTGCATTAAGCAAGGTCCACCTGGGCTTCCTTTAGACACTAGAGTTTGAGATGCCCTGCTTTGGCAGACACCGTACTGGATTTTGGAAAACGCTACATTACTCGTTGTACAAGCCAGCTCTCTAAGCTTCAGCTTCTTCATCTGCACAGTAATAATACCAATCTATACCTCAGGTTTGTCCTGGAGGAGAATTAATGAGGAAATGTCATTGCAGTGCTAGGCAGATATGAGATAAAGAGGCGGATGCTTGCGTGTAAAATCCACTCTGAGCAGCACTGGTATGAAATGTGGCAGTGCACATTTGTGTAGGGAAATTTAAAGGGGAGCTTATCTCCATTTGCACTGGGCTTTCCTCCCACATGTAAGTCAGGGACCCTCAACTCTGCTATCCCTTAAAACCAGCTGGGGAAATTTTAAGATACTGATTTCTGGGCCCTGACCCCAGAGATTTAGGTTAATTTTGTGGGTGGGATCCCCAGTGTTAGTTTTGTCTAACAACTCTGGGGCAATTTTAGCAGCTGGAACAGGGAATCCCTGGCCCTAGAGCCCTGGTGATAGATGGGGTTGTGTGAGAACGTGGTCCTCAGTCTCTCTCTTCCCTCTCCTCCTCCCTGTCACAGTGCTCTACCACATGTGGGCTGGGGGCCTACTGGAGGAGCGTGGAGTGCAGCACGCAGATGGATGCAGACTGTGCAGCCATTCAGAGGCCCGACCCTGCTAAGAGATGCCACCTCCGCCCCTGCGCTGGCTGGAGAGTGGGAAACTGGAGCAAGGTAATCTGTCAGGCTGTGTCTTGGGGAATGAGGGGGGTCACATATGAACACAGGTGCTTTCTCTCCTCCCCTCCTCCTACCTCCCTGCCTTCCTTCTGCCTTTTTTCTAAAATCATGGGAAAGTAAATCACAGGCATTAACATAGGCCTAATTCAAGTTACACAAGTCTCAAAAGTAGAGTTTTTATTAATACACGTTTTACCCACCTGTCCTTTCTCTTACAAGATAAATTGGAAGAAAAAGTTAAATTGGTGTAATTGCTTTGTCCACATACAGTGCTATTTCTAAATTATTTCAATTTACCATCATAACAAATAATTATATATTGTCACATATATGATTAAATCATGGTGCAGCTGCTCTTCATAAAACAAACACACAGTTTAACATACCAGGCCAAAAAATGAAAAGAAGGTGGAGCTATAAAGAATAATTTGATTATTAAAAGTACATTATCAATATTGAGGTGGGGTTTTACAGGTCTTGCTAATCTGACTGTGGTTGATTTACTCACTTTGCTGTGCTATCTGCATGGTCCCTCATGGAGAAGACACATGGGGTTTTCATATTAGTCAGTCTTGGTGCTTTGGGACACAAACCAGGCTCAATCTGCCCTTCACCCTGGGCTGAAACGTAAAGGGACCATTGGGTGATCTGCTGGGGTTACAAGACACTGGTCAGTGGTAAAGTTGAAGACTAGCTGGCAGGTAGGGAGAACAGGTGTGAGAAGTGCACATACACCTTCTGTGTGACATACACACTTAACTCTAAGGACTCTGTAGTCCCTCTCCCCTCACCAGGAAGCCAGGCTCCCTTGATAGCTGAGACACAGGGAAAGAGAAAACAAAGAGTTAGTCAGGACATTTGGGAAGGCTGGGATACCTCTAGAGATGTTAGTTCCTTTATCTAGTAGAGAGTTCATGTCCCCAGACAGGACCACAAAGTATCTCATTGAACATCCCTGGTTCTCCTTGCAGACCTACCTTTGGACAGAAGCATAGGACCTCTCTGATGTCTCAGAACTCCTCCCCAAAGTAGGGCTCTGATCTTATTTTATTATTTTTTGTGGTACTGGGATTTGAACTCAGGGCCTTCACTTGAACCATTCAACCAGTCCTATTTTTGTGAAGGGTTTTTCAAAATAGGGTCTTGTGAGCTATTTGCCCTGGCTGGCTTTGCACTGCAGTCCTCCTAATCTCCACGTCCTGAGTTGCTAGGATTACAGGCATCAGGAGCCTGGCCTGGGCTCTGATCTTACAGAAGAGAGGAGATGGGCCTATTCCCTCAGAAAATTACCCCTCATTCTTTTGACACCTGCCAATCTGCCTGTCTCTGTTTCTGTACCATGTTTTCTTTCAAGAATGGATGCTGGTTCTTGTTTATTTCTCTTCCAACACATGACAAACTAAGGATTCAGTGAGGGCTGAATGCTTAGCTACAAATTCTCTTCCATATTCAAAATCAAGAAATGTCTTATATCCCCGACCTTGTCAAATGCTGTCCAAGTCCTAAAGTTCCACTCTCCCTTCACTGGGAATAATTATTTTCTTGGAAACTATATGGCTTTTTATAAAAAGGACAGGTTCATGAAATAGTTTGTATTTTAGGAAAGGTTAAGTCCAAACTGAGGAATTCTAGGTGTGTGAAGCCTAGAATGAGAGATCAGGAAGCTCATGTGTGCAGTCTGGAATGACTTCTAAAGAAAGCACTCTTGGCCTGTGTCTAAGGCCATACCACCCTGAACACAACCGAGTTAAGAAAGCCCTGCTTGCCCAGCGCGCTCTCTCTCTCTCTCTCTCTCTCTCTCTCTGTCTTTCTTTCTCCCCCTACCCTCACTCACTCCCCCCTGTCTTTGGAGGTTTAAAGATATATTGATTAATCACTGTAGTACTCCAAGTGGTTTTATAGGCAACTGTCTCTACCTTATCAAATTCTTCCACACTGTGGTAATTGCCACATTTAAAATCTAATCCTCAATTTCACTCCATTCCTACCACTAAAAAAAAACACCTCTTCTGCCAGGATAATAGGTAAACCTTTTGTCAAAGGCATGATTTAACTACTGATAGCCAATTTCTTTGGCTTTTTTAAATCACTACTATTATGGATATTGTACTTGTTTTTCCTAGGAATGTTCATTTAGATTTCATTTTAAATCTTGATGAGTAAATGAAACTCCTTGATTGCCATGTTACTAACCAGCTCCTATGGATTTCTGGAGTTCAAAACATGCATTAGGAAAGATTTAAGGGCTTTCTTTCTCAATTTCCCTAATTCTGTTAGGCCTTCCTTTTAAATTCACTTGGAGGCAAACATCTAAAACCTAGAATAGGAAAACAGATCCCCAGTTTTGCCTGTAAATATCCAAAGAACTTAAATTCTGTCAAGTTGATATTTTGCCTTTTTACAGATACTTTCTCAGAATTAAGAATTCTAATTTTACCTTACTCAACCAATCTCTATCCCAGATCCAAAGAAACTTTAATTTTCTTATGACTGTGGCTATGTTGTAGCCTCATCCAAACCCACAAACATCCAGGCCACTCACATGGAATTCTCCACCATAATTACTGTATGGAATGCAGTCATTTTTACCAACTTATTCTCCTAAAACCACTGTTCTCCTTGATGAAGACTGATACATCTGTCATGTATATGACAGGAGAACAAGAGTACACATTCATGCTCTATCTTTCTAATGTCTAGAAGTAATTTCTCAGATAGCTTGCTTCCTCTTCATACATTAATCTGTCTAAAACAAAATCAAGGATGCCAGCATCCTAGGTTTGTCCCAGAGGTAAACTTAGGAAAATGTATTACTGCAGAATTAAATTCTAGAGGTAGTGTTGGGCTAGAAATCAGACATGTTTGAGTTGGCAACCCCATCCTGTTACTAATTGGCATGTACACTTGTCCATTCATCTACCCTCTTATGAGCATTGGTTTTCTCACCTCCAACATGAAATAGATAATGTTGCTTCTACTAATCTTGTAGAGTTCTAAGGATCAAAAAAGTGTGTTAGTTAGCGTTCCACTAAGGCTTGGAGTGTTCAAATTGCTAACACATACTTAGTTATGAAGCTCATCCTGCATAATCTCAATTCTAAGAAACTATCAACTAGTCTCTATGTCATCACTATACAACTTTTTCAGAAAGAAGGATACACCACACAGTAACTATGCATACCAGTTGTATGATGCCAATCTCAGAACAATAAAATTTATATGGAGGCTAGTGATTCTTATGATGGGAGAAATACAGAAAATGACAAAAATGAACTTTAAAACCCCCAAGTTGCATTTGACACCAAAACTGTATCTTCTGCAGTTCCACACACTTCCTGACTGAGCATTTGTGTTCCTTCAGCTCTTCAAACTACAGATTTGACAACTCCCTTGTTATCTTAGAAAGAGCACTTCCCTTTTCATAGTTAGGTCTAACAGATCTTGTTTATTTATGAAATGAATCAGAAAGGTTTTTATATTCTTTTCTTCAAAGCATCTGTCTTCCCACATAGTCGGCATTGCGATTTTATTTTAGCAATAGTTGATTTTCCTATCTGTAGTTTTGCTGGAAAATAAGAGAAAGTGACAGCCTTTTCTTATAGTATTGAGCTTCGTAATTTTACTAACTAGTCTGTCTTATTCTAGTCTTTGTCTCCATGTTTATTGAATTTGCAGATTGTCTATTGTAGTACTACATTTTGTAGATCTGAGTTTTTACAAATGAATAAAAGCAAAACATTTCTAGAGACCAGTATGAAAGCTTAACGCACAGAAGTCAAAGCTTGGAATTGCATGTTTAGGATGACTTCTATCTCTAGAAGGCAAAATTGAACAGCAGGAAGTAGATCATACATGAAAATCCCTCCATTTATTTTATTCTTGAGATAATTTGTTCTATTTTTAAACCTTTACACTCTCTTGACACCTCTGAACATTTTAGATTAAGAAGTCCCTAAGAAGAAATGGCTAGAGGAGTGACATTTAAATGGAAGTAATGGAGTACAAATCCAGCAATCCCACGCACTTAGGGCCACAGAAAGCATGACCCTAACACCACTGCTGTCAGATCACAATTCTTTCCATGGTGGCCTCTGTCCTTCCCTCTATGTCCATCCCCACTGTCTATGCTCATTGCAGTCTGACTTGCGGTCCCCAGGCAAGCCATATTGTTTCACAGCACTGAGCCTCTGTATGTATCAGTATCTCTGCTTAGAATGCCCCCTGCCATTTTTTCCAGCCAAGTCAGCATCTACTCATAAGATTCAGCCTAAGCTTGCACTCTTTATTCGGACCTTTCTCGACTTTGTTCAGTGAAACTGACTGCCTCCTCCTTTATACCTTCATGAGATCATGAACAACTTATGGCATATTGTCTTTATTACTTCTCCTTGATGGTGACCCTCACTACCAATTGCAAACCATTTACAATAGAGATACAGAGATTGGAACATAGCAAGTGCTCAATAACTGGGAGGAAGGGAGCAGGAAGAGAGTAGGACAAATGGACAGATGAATTTTGGTGCTGTCCACTTAGAATTTTGGAATTCATTATTTTATTCTAAGGGTCTTATGAGCAAGTTTAACAGAAGGAACTGAACAGAAAGGAATTTTTTCTCTATCTTGGTTTAGTACCTGGCACATAGCTTTGAGAGTGAGAAAGAACTCTGAAGTCACAACAGAATACAAATCCAGTGATCCCATGCATTTATGACATTTCAGAGTATTATGAGGTTTAATCATCTAGCTTATCCACTTTTTAACAGGAGTGTAGAGATGAGGTCTTAGAGGAATGAAGTGATTAAGCCAGCCATGCAGCCATTTGGTGCCCAAGCCATAACTGAAAGCCATCTGCACATCTCTGACCCTGTGTTCTTTAACTTACTCACTATACATACCTAAACACTCTGTTAATCCACTGTGGAAAGTGTTTCAGGATGACCTATGAATGAAAACTATCCCATGAAAAAAACAAAGGTTGTGATTTTGTTTTATTT